TCGTGTGCTAACCTGGACTCGTTTTAAAATTATATATATAGATTCGTTCTCAAAGTCGGCTCAAAACTTTTTTTTTACCGAGTAATGATATTTGATTGAGATGATAAAGATTACTTGGGGATTTTGTGGAATTCATATGCCAGCCTGAAAACATATAAATAGGTTTTTTATTTCTAAGACGAAGAATACTTACGCAGTTATTGACTTTACAGCATCAATCGATCGTGTTACAAACGCTACAGAAATTCAAAGATTTGTATCAACTACAAAAGTATAGTTTTCTTTTCAAGGAAATTCTACGTTATGGTTTTAAATTTCATCAAGTTGTCAATGTAAATGAATTAAAAAAAAAATTATAAATAAGTTTTATGTTAAAAATAACAAAACATTTGAAAAAATTATCATTTTAAGAATATGTATTAATTGCACATCTTTTGCTCGGCTTGATAGGTGACAATTTTGTAAAAATAGTACCGCAGTATGTAATGCATCGAATCCTAATAGAAATCAATACTATCGTGAGTATAGTATTATGCATACGTATTATATTTTAAGGAGCCTGCAACCAGAAATACATCGCTGTATTCTGTGAAGTAATTTTATGGAGAGGAATTTTTTCGTTTGAGAAATAAAGTTTAATAAAAAAAAAAAACAAAACAAAAAATTTGGCAGAAATTCATAAAAAATAAAAGCCGAGATTTGTTTCCTACTTATACAGTTGTAGAGCATGTGGGGGTATGCATGGATTGGATTAAGACTTACGTTTTTGTGCCACACATCCAACATTATGACCATGAAATTTTATGTGCTGATGGACCACGATCNCAAACAGCAAAAAGTACAAACAACAAAATGAAGGTAAATCGAGTAGACATTGTAAAAAAGTATAGGTTTCACGTGAAGATCCCGTACAGTTTCCCTCTCGATGGCAGACTACGGATTTATTCGTTCGTTTGATATAATAGAGTGCGTTTTAAAAATAGGCTTGAGATAGATATTAATTACGGGGAATCCCATTAATAATTTTTAAGTAAAAAGAAAGGATTAGGATATTTTTTTTTAAACAACAAAACATACTTTAATATTTAAATATTTATACAGTATCAACCGAAGCAAAGTAAAATCAAAAAAGATAGAAAATCAACTATTACTCTTAAACCTAAAAATTTGTGCTACAAACTACGAAAAATGAAAGATTTGAACATTGTAATCCACTACATTTTATCGACCACCGCATGGACAGTATTTTGCCAAAAGTCTGCAGGAGGATCTTTATGAACTGTGTCAGGACAGTACATAAGAGTGGAAGTCATAATTGGTTTCCAAGTCCCATCTGCCTCTTGCTCGTTATTGACGCAGAAGTTTGTGTTGCAGCCATCGTCATATATTTTTCCTAACACGCATTTCTTGCCTTTGAATGGTGCCTCATCTGCAAAGTCATTTATTTTTCCAAGTGTATTTTTAAATATTAGAACGATTACTTATTATATCATAAATTAATGTTTAGCAATTATTAAAGATAATCAAAGTTCAAAGGATGTAACAAATAATAGTTAAAATTTTTACTGTTCCAATGGTAAATTAGAATATCTCAAGACTCTCTACAGAGAAGAATATAAATAATTTAATAAAAANTGGTACACACAAACAGCAAAAAGTACAAACAACAAAATGAAGGTAAATCGAGTAGACATTGTAAAAAAGTATAGGTTTCACGTGAAGATCCCGTACAGTTTCCCTCGCGATGGCTGACTACGGATTTATTCGGTCAGTTGATTTCCATTTATAGGTACTTGATATCAGTTGGTCAGATAACATTTTTTTTACGCGTCTGCACTACTTCCTAGACTAATGCTAATGTATATTATGGTAATTAAGAATAATATACTTATGTGTCCGTGTTGTCAATGTTTTCCACACGATAAGTCTTTTGATAAAAAATTTAAAAGCCTCGATACTTCATAAGTATGTGACGTAATGATACTGAAATTTGGTCAGATGGGAATTACTGTACTAGATCGTTTTAAAAATAGGCTTAAGATACATATGAACTACGGGAAATCCCATTGATAATTTTTAAGTAAAAAAAAAGGATTAGGATATTTTTTTTTTTTTAATAACGATACACACTTTAATGTTTAAATATTTATACAGTATCAACCGAGTAAAATCAAAGTCAAAAAAGGTAGAACATCAACTATTACTCTTAAACCTCAAAATTTTTCCTATAATCTACGGCAAGTTAAATATTTCAACGTTGTTGTCCGCAACTTTCTGCATATTGTCGTCTATCGCATAGATGGTATTTTGCCAAAAGTCTGCAGGAGGTGCCTTCATAGCTTTTATCTGATTATTTTCGTTCATGCAGAGTATTTGAGAGGAGTAGATAACTGGTATCCAGGTCCCATCGGCATTTTGCCTGTTGCCTGCACAGACGTTTGTGTTACACCCATCATGATATGATTTTTCTGGCACGCATTTCTGGCCTTTGTTTACCATCACATCTGTAAAGTCATTTATTTACGAAGTTAAGACATTATAATGTTTACTTGTTACAATTACATTTAAAGTTTTAGCAATTATCAGATATCATCAAAGTTTAAGGATATTAAAAACCCGTTTTCTTAACAGAAAGTACGCGATACAAAACTCATACGTTAATTTTAAAGTAAACCATCTCAACACAACGTACGATTATGTTATTTTAATGATATTTATAATAGCGTATAACTTTTTAATTAAATAGGAGATAAATGTTTACATGGAAACATCGGAGATACATCTTTCGGCGTGTCACTGTTATCTGCAGCAACAAAATAAACGTAAGCTGTTAAAAAAGCACAAAACAGGACTTTCGATGCCATTTTCAAAAAAAATAGTTTGGTCACTATTGGTGATTAATGCTGTTTCACTTTTAATTTTTAACTGAGGAAGAGTTGATAATTTACAACGCTTTATACTGCTTTGCGTATAAATATATGCGATAGGTGGAAAATGGTAATTAAGAGCATTTGTAATATCATCACTACTGGTTCCTTTAATTAGCATGTCATTATTATTTGTGAATTCATTATTTTAAATCAAAAACATCAAGTCAAAACTATTTTTAGCCGTAAATTTTTTTTTTTTTTCAGTATACTCCAACGTAATTAATTCTATAACTACAGTACGTAACATTACCATAAGGTTTTATAAATTTTATTAACTTCAACCAATAACTTGATCTGTTACACGTATTTAATTCTTTTATACTAGAGAACAGTTGAAGTCGACATCTGTTTTTAGTAGTTAATAAGGTTAAGCACACATGTTTCAAATAAACGAATTTAAATACCTTACAATTATACTTACCACTATAAAAAACACATTTGTATTTTATGTAATAATGAATGACTGATTTAAAATTAAAAATATGTAAAAAATGATCGATTCCACAAGAATTTATTAATATGAATAATTTGTTAACATAGAATACGAATGATATCATTTAAGATGATAATAATCGCACTATTGCCAAAAAAAATGAAACCATATTTCTTTAAGCATTACGATGAAAATAAGGCCATTTTATGTTATGATTATTATGCGTTAAAGTAATAAAAGTAATAATAATATTAAAAATAGTTAAAGCTTTTTAGATTCTCGATATTTTATGTATGCTAAAAAAAGCGATTGTTATTTTATGTCGATATATTTTTTAATTTATTGCAATTTATTTTAATGAGCAAAGTTTAGATGTTGGAACGATTACTCATTACAATATAAATGTTTTTAAACGTGGTATAAAACCTATATATAAATTTTGAGATGAATTGTTTTTAGATATATAACATACGTTGTTGTTATTGTAACGATATTTACCCAATAAAGTTTGAGGTTTTATTCTAACTTTATATAAATAATGTTCCCTGGAAGGTACCAATTATCTACTATTCGGCATGTCATTTTATCTGCAGCTGTAAAATAAATTTAAACTGTTTAAAGACCACAAAACAGGAGTTTCGGTGCTATTTTCAAAAAGGTAGGTTGGTTACCGAAGAAAATTATTCATTCATTTTTTCTTTGTTTTATACGTAAAAGGACAAATAAAACACGTACTGCGGCATAACACGGCCAACAATTTTGGACCAAAAAATACTTTTACGTGCAAAACAAATAGTCATCTGTCTTTATTCCTCTGTTCACTTTCACATTTTATGGAACATTGGTGACATGGTGTGAATTTTTTTGTAGATGTTCGTAAACATATATTAATAAATAAATATGAAGTAGAAAGCCAAAAATGTCATCAGCTACAATACATCAAAATTGAAGGAAAAAAATTCAATTTATTCTTTTTATTGTACGAATAAATAAGAACAGTAGAAAAATTTGCTTACCCCTTTTTTCATGAGCACTCAAAAGCTGAAACAAGCAGAGTCCACACAACAGATAAGCTTAACAATTTCACGTGGTTCTTGCGTTTGTCCTAACTTAATTAATTATGTAACACATATGAAGTATGATGAGCAGAAATGAGAGTGACGTTGCATCAGCCAATGGGAATACCTACAAATTAAAGATTTCCCACTTACTTATTTGACACATTAAGTTATGACTAATTGTGGTTGATTTTTGATCAACTTAACCGAGTTTTTATTTGAAGATTATATATGTGTGGTGGCTTCTTCCCATTACTATCCATTCCACCGCCCCTGAACGATTTGTTAAATGCGCTTTTTCGAAACAAATGTTGACAATGTATAAAAATTTTTTCAGAATTATTTATCAACGATATGATACGTTGTATCAACTTGTTAAGTGTGAAGTTGTAAAGGAAAGCTTTACTGTTTTATTATTTTGTATGACCTATGAAAAGTTTTATGTATTCTGTAAACTTATATTTTTATTGCACGTACTTCTAAAAATTGTAAATAAGTGTCAAAGAAATTTTTCACTACATGGAACGTCTGTAAAAATAATACAATCACCGTAGCTTGTATTTTTAATATAATATNCTTTTTAATTAAATAGGAGATAAATGTTTACATGGAAACATCGGAGATACATCTTTCGGCGTGTCACTGTTATCTGCAGCAACAAAATAAACGTAAGCTGTTAAAAAAGCACAAAACAGGACTTTCGATGCCATTTTCAAAAAAAATAGTTTGGTCACTGTTGGTGATTAATGCTGTTTCACTTTTAATATTCAACTGAAGAAGAGTAGATAATTCACAACACTTTATACTGCTTTGCGTATAAATATATGCGATAGGTGGAAAATGGTATGTCTTTTGAAACTTTTTTTTCTGTAATCATAAGTATTTGGAACAAGTATTTAAAAATATACTGATCAACCGATTCAATTCAATTACTATGCTTTATTCAGATTAAAACTATTTTTTTTTCAGTCAATCCAAGTACCTTCGAATAATAAATACTAACGTTGTTAAAATGAAACCATGTCAAAGAAATTGGATAGTGCTTAATTAATGTTTCTATTATTTGCTTATTTGCTATTTATCTATTTGTTATCTACTTTTCTAATATAAGAAGAAAAAGATTTTGAGATTAAATGATAGATACATAGCCGAGTAAGATGTATTTCGTTTCGTATGATTATGTACGAGCGACGAATGAAATATTAATAATTAATTTCATAAATCAAATCCGTAATGCTCGGGGCATCAGGTAGTTAAAAAACTTAGTTTTATTCGCTCATAAATCATATTTTTTTAAAGTTGGATGCACAGGCCTGAGATAAATATGAATTACGGGGAATCCCATTGATAATTTTGAAGAGAAATGGATTGGTATGTTTTTCTCAAAGTCTGATCAAAACTTTTTTTTACCGAATAATGATGTTTGATCGAGATAAGTATATTTGAGGCAAGTTGCTCCGGGCCCGGCCCTTTCGCTCCCGCGTCTCCAGCTAATCTCTCTTTACTCTCTTGCTTCGCTCTCCCTTCCTATCACTTCGCTTCTCTACCTAAGCGGGGGCGCACGCACGCACAGCTATATGTTATCGTACGTAACAGTATTTTTATTTCCAAGACAAAGAACACTTACGCAACTATTGACTTTTCAGCGTCAATAGATCGTGTTACGAACGCTACAGAAATTCGAAGATTTGTATCAACTACAAAAGTATAGTTATCTCTTCAAAAAAGTAGTTTTCAATTTTATCGCGTCGTCAATAGAAATAAATTTTAAAAGAACATAACAAACAAGTTTCATAAAAATTGGATCTTCATGAAAATCAATGTCATCGTGGGTAATATTATTTATATATTACATTTATTAAAGCTTGCAACCAGACATGCATTACTGAATTTTCTGAAGTGATCTGTTACACGTATTTAATTCTTTTATACTAGAGANTATGCATACGTATTATATTTTAAGGAGCCTGCAACCAGAAATACATCGCTGTATTCTGTGAAGTAATTTTATGGAGAGGAATTTTTTCGTTTGAGAAATAAAGTTTAATAAAAAAAAAAAACAAAACAAAAAATTTGGCAGAAATTCATAAAAAATAAAAGCCGAGATTTGTTTCCTACTTATACAGTTGTAGAGCATGTGGGGGTATGCATGGATTGGATTAAGACTTACGTTTTTGTGCCACACATCCAACATTATGACCATGAAATTTTATGTGCTGATGGACCACGATCTCGTCGCTTTGCGTCAGACAATTATTTTACAATTTTCTGTGAAAATCTAGTTTTTTTGTTACATTTCCAGAATAATTACATAAATGTCCATGTATAACTTGAAATGATGTATGATAAAAATCAATAAAAAAGACCAATGTTTTAGCTATCAATACATTGTTTATTTATTTACAGAAATTTTTTAATGATCAAGTATGACAAATTACATTTACCAGTAAGGTTCACAAATAATTAGAAAAACGGAAAAACTTGTTAGTTAATAACTGCTACATATTTATTCCTTATCCCAAAAATCTTCGGGGGGGTCCAATAATTTTTTCGGCGAGCCATCAAGTTCATAGCACAATCTCAAAGTGCAATGTACTCTTGGATACCAAATTCCATCATTTAAGTAATTACCACCACAGACGCAACTATTGCAACCATCATCAAATGATTTTCCCATCACACATTTTTTATTATCATCTAAAAAATAAAAACAGTGAGATGATTAAGTTAAATCCATTATTGAAACTGCAAGTTAGAGGAAGTTGATCGAGAAAAAGTAAAATCAAAATTTTGAGATAACAGTACTTGTTGAAAATAGATTTTTCCTTCCGCGAGGCGTTTTTCATGACACTTGGACGTTTACATGGTGCCATCAATAGAAAATAGCATTCGTCCGAACAATCGACATTCAACCAGGGCTACCCAATGCGGTACCTGTAATATATTCCTCGGACCAAAAAATGGCCCCTAGTGATGATGGCTTTTATGTGCCGAAAGATATACTATTCTTTGCCTTCAAGGGATTATTACTACCTTCATAAAAGTGTCGATCTGAAGATGTGTGTTTGTTAGTGCGAGAGTGATTGTGCGTATGTTAGTGTAAACGATCGGACCTTAGAATTTAGATTTTTTCCGACTTGTCTAATTTTTTTTTTTTTTTTTTTTGCTTGTTTTTCTAAACACAAATTTTTTAGATAGAGAGATTATTTAAAACCGTGTGACACACATTACCAGAGCAAACACTGGGCCCGAGGGACCCTTTCTGATTGTCTTATTTGAACACATACCAGGTGCCAATTCTATTTTTCCCAAATAGGGTGAAGGAAACATCCAAAAGAAAGAAAAACGCCTTCAGTAGGAAAATTTAATTTTTTTTACTCATATATTTAGAAATAAGATTTAAAAGGGCTATGCCATTTTAAAAACAAAAGTTGGATATATGTTAGTTGAATCAATCAAACAATTTTATTTAATACAAGTAAAAAAGAGTTTGGGAAAGCTTTGCATCTATTGGCGTAGGCTTTCCGCATATCTTTTTTACAAAATTGTCAACAGTCTCCAAACAATTTTATTTTTATCAGTTTAAAAGTTAACCAACCTGCGAGTGGTACAGCTTGACTTTGGTACACACAAACAGCAAAAAGTACAAACAACAAAATGAAGGTAAATCGAGTAGACATTGTAAAAAAGTATAGGTTTCACGTGAAGATCCCGTACAGTTTCCCTTTCGATGGCTGACTACGAGTATATTCGCTAGTTCGGACCTATTTATACTTAGTATCAGTTTGTTCACTTAATCCTAAAATTCTTTCACACGCACGTACTACTTCCTATAATTTAATACTAATGTGTGCGCTGTAGGAAATAAAAGTGATACGTACCTGTGTTGTTGATGTTTTTACACGCAATGCGAGTCATTAGATACAAAAATTTGAAGAATGGCCTTGAAACTATACAAGCGTATATGATGGAATATTAAAATCTTATCAGACAGGTATAACTGTATTGGAGTGTTTTTAAAATGTTATTAAAATACAAACACCAGAATAAGGAAACTTCATTGACGAGTCTTATATGGTTGATTGTGACATCAGTATGTTTTTTTCATTTTTATTACACACAATGTAATGTTAAAACATTTCTCAGTATTACGGGAAGTAGGTAAATTTCAATTAAAATTCAAAAATGCAAAACAGCAATTATTAATTTAAAACCTTAAAACTTGTACTACAAAACATCATTACCATTTGGCATAGTATAAATATTAACATGTTTATCCGCCTTTTCCTGCACATTGTCGTCTAACCGATACATAGTATGTTCATAAAAGCTTGTAGGAGGATCCAACTGAGGGCTGTTATAGCATAAAATTAGAGTGGACATGATTATTGGCGTCCAAGCCCCATCGACTTCTTGCTTGTTACCTGCGCAGAAGTTCAGGTTGCAGCCATCATGATATGATTTTCCTGCCACACATTTCTGGCCTTTGAATGGTACCTCATCTGCAAAGTCATTTATTTTTTCGGGTGAAGTTTTAGATACTAGAACGATTACTTAATACAATATAAATTTTTGGCAATTATCAGAGATCATCAACGTAGAAGGATGCTGACAATCCTTTTCCATGAAAGAAAGTGCGTGGTGTATAAAACTCGTACATGAATTTTAAAATAAACCACTTCAGCGCAACGTACGATCATGTTAATTTAACGATATTTATAATAGCGTATATTATCTTTTTAATTAAATACAAAATAAATAATTTTTACATGAAGCCATTGGAGATATCTCATTCGGCATGTCGTTGTTTTCTGAAGCAACAAAATAGACGTTTAATATAAAAAAAGCACAATATAAGACTTTCGGTGCCATTTTCGAAAAAATAGTTTGATCACTGTAGGTGATTAATGCTGTTCTACTTTTGATATTCAACTGAAGAAGAGTAGATAATTCACAACACTTTATACTGCTTTGCGTATAAATATATGCGATAGGTGGAAAATGGTAATCAAGAGCATTTGTATAATCACCGCTAGTCGTTTCTTTGATTAGAATATGATTATAAGCGAATTATTTACTTAAGATTGAAAAAATCAAGTTAAAACTGATAATAATCGTAATTGTTTTTTTTTTTTTTTTCAATAAACAACAAAGTAGTTAATTCTAAATAGTCATATTACCTAACGTTACTATGAAGATTTATTAATTTTGTATAGTTAAAATAACAACTTGATTTGTTACACAAGTACAATTATTTTAAATTAGAAAACAGTTTAACTTGACATCTGTGTTTAGTTACTGATAACGTTTGGCACACATGGTTTGAATTAATGAATTATACTTACCGCTATAAAACACGTGTGTCATATTTTATTTTTTTGATAAATGGCTGATTAAAAAATAAAATAACAAAGAAGTTGATCGTTTTTATAAAAAAAGACATAGTTTTGTTTTCTACTTAAACAGTTGTACAGCATGTGGGGGTATACATAGATTGGATTAAGACTTACGTTTTTGTGCCACACATCCAACATTATGACCATGAAATTTTATGTGCTGATGGACCACAATCTCGTCGCTTTGCGTCACAGACAATTATTTTACAATTTTCTGTGAAAATCTAGTTTTGTTGTTACATTTCCAGAATAATTACATAAATGTCCATGTATAACTTGAAATGATGTATGATAAAAATCAATAAAAAAGACCAATGTTTTAGCTATCAATACATTGTTTATTTATTTACAGAAATTTTTTAATGATCAAGTATGACAAATTACATTTACCAGTAAGGTTCACAAATAATTAGAAAAACGGAAAAACTTGTTAGTTAATAACTGCTACATATTTATTCCTTATCCCAAAAATCTTCGGGGGGGTCCAATAATTTTTTCGGCGAGCCATCAAGTTCATAGCACAATCTCAAAGTGCAATGTACTCTTGGATACCAAATTCCATCATTTAAGTAATTACCACCACAGACGCAACTATTGCAACCATCATCAAANGAATTTTCTCAAACAAGTTTATTTTGTAACGAGCGTATATTTATTTTTATTAACTGTATTCTCGACACTGAGCTACATGTATAAATTTTTTTTAATTGTACAGCTAAAGTCTATAGTTGTGCTTACAGCATACGGTAAGATAAAAGTGCTCGAGTTCAACACTACATTCAACATAAAAGTTGACAATTCTTATAATTCATGATACATATGAAAGTCATTTTCAAATATTCTTTTTACGTCACTTCAAGATACAAACAACATTTTTTACTTGAATATCAATCATGTACTTTTTAAAACATACTTTGAAAGGTTAGAATTTGAGATTTTGTAGTTATTGGAGCACTTTGTAATATTCATGTAAAGAAAATCATTAAAAATTTTCTTTGTTGTAACGCAGTACTTCTGTATATATGTATTTGCAGAAATTTGTGCATAGAAGTAAAGTTTATAAAAGATGGATAAAGAAGATAAAAAAATTACTGAACATGATAAAATTATTACGATTTATGCTATGTAAACTGTCTAACTTAAACATAAAACGAAGAAAAAAAAAAAGGAAACAGTTCGAGTGGAATAATGCCATTTTTTTCTATAATATAAATTGATCATCATAAGGTTGTTATCGATCTTTATAATTAAGGCGTGACAAAAATTTACATACATAATATTTCTTAAGGCTTAATAGTTGACGGCGCGCAATAGTTTTACCTGTACGACTGGAGCGAGTTTGCTCTTGACCACTTTTACATTTTTATGCCTTATCGAACTTTAAACATTCGTTGCTCTTGAAAATTCTTATTTTTTAATAATTTTTTTTTTTATATCTGTTTAATCTTGCTTAGTATATTTCCAGCATCACAGAGGGAGGATTAGGATATCTTGAAGTGGGAAATATTTTTTACTTACATGTTCACTGTACTTGATTATGAAACTATTTTTTTTTTCCTTCAAATTTAAAAAAAATTGTTAGAAAGTGCGTGTAATATAGTAGTCTTAAGCAGTCGAATATCAATAGAACTTGACGCACAATCCGATGAGATCCGAGAGAATTACTGGCCCCCATTGGTTACATTTGTATTTTGTGAAAATAACATTTATATACATTGTTACGCAGGCAATCTACAGTAAAACTTTTCGTAAATACTCGATGGAGAGCAAATATCTTATTTCTTACAGTTACGTATGCTACGGGTAATGTTTTGTTTTTTCTACCGTTTGAAAAATGTGTGTACTAATAAAAGAGCACATCTAACAGTTACCATATATTTTTTTCGTATCATTCGCCTCGTATGTTATTGCAATTTTTGTTTACTGTGACAAAAAAAAAAAGATTTGGTTTGTCTATGAGTAATAATTTCAATAATTTATGTATGAAATAATCACTCAAAGAATGTACTGGAATCATAAACTAATAACATTCGTTGCTTTTTTAATTTAACTTCTTTAACATGTAATACCAGTGCAAAGTTTCTTTCAATTTCATTATGATTTGGCACATAAATCTTAATACATATTCTAACGTTTCAAACAAATGGTATTAACTTTTTATTCAAACAAAAATTTAAATTTTAAAATATAATTTTTCATTTGCAATAATCTGTTTCACTGTTTAATCAACGTAATGGTACGGAGATATAAGTGTGAAATTAAAGCTGTGTAAATAAAATAAGCACCAAGTTTTTCAGCACCTTCATAATGTAGACGACATTTATATCGTGAATTCTAAAACGAATTCAAACGTTTTATTATAAAAGAAAGCGCTAAACATTATTCTGACTTAACTCAATGCTGCGTATCATTTTCTATTTAATTTTTCATGTTACTGTTTTGAAGAATTTTTTATCCCTATCGAAAACTTGCAGATCATGAGTTTAAAAATTGAAAAAAAAATTTGTTTTATGGATCAAACTACCGCGATGCCAGTTGATTAATTATGTTGTATTAAGGCACGTAGATGCAGTATTATTGTATATTTAGTTGTGTTACATTTTATTATTACAACTTTAATTTCTACGACTATTACTGCTTTGTCACCTATTAACAATAATTTTAAAACACTTTTGAAAGTAACTATTATTTTTATGATTCACAAAGTAGTGGATATTTAAATTTTCATAATTACGATGTAAGAAAAAATGTATAGCTTTACTATTTTCATGTAGGCATTGATCTTGAAATATTGATTTATCACAGCAAAGCAATACTTTTTTTATAAAATGTTACTACTTTATTTGAATTTATCGTGGATACTATTTAAATACAACTTTAGATGTAAAGAATCTCTACTTCAATTGTTAAATGATGCAGTTAAATTTGTTTTAGCGATTCTTTGTCATTAATTTGTATGTTTATTGATACATTTTAAAAACTTCCACACAAAAAATAATACATACATTGTTATCGTATGGGTAAGGCACTATAATAAAATTAAAGCATACAATCGCAAATTATTTATATGCTATTGTTGGCGCAAAGGCACTAAAATTATCTATGCAAAAAATTGCATTCACACAAAAACCTTATTTCATCTATGAACTTTTTAAAAGTCATTTTAAAAACATTATTAGATTTCATTTATTGCTCTTTTTTGTAACTTGCTATTTACTGGCATCTCGTTTGTTTTAATTTACTTGGGAATTAACAACCCCGACCAGCAAAATGAAAAATTTACAATTTTATTTGTGAGTTTAAAATAACCTTCAATAGAATTTCTATGAAAAGGTATATTTTTAAACTATTATGCCTTTGATAATACAAATATGATACGCATTTTGAATTTTCTCAAACAAGTTTATTTTGTAACGAGCGTGTATTTATTTTTATTAACTTTTATGCATTAAATTGTATGTATGTATCTTTTAAAAACAAAAATTTAGAATTAAACGTGATATTTCCCTTTGCTGAAGACATTCTTATGATTATGATTTAGCAACGTATTGTAATGTGTTAGGAAAAAAGAAACTTTTTTTTCTCCGATAAAAAAGCTTGTTTTGAATAAAAAAAAAAAAAAAAAAAAAACTTTTTTATAAAGTGTTAATTTTAAGAGATTGATTCCGTAGCACAACGCATTTATTTAATACTGGCTTCTCGTAATTTATTTATAGTTACTTTACTGAAAATATATTACGTAATTATATTGATCCACTGACGAAGAGAACCATTGCACCATTTAATTACGAAAGTTTGCAGTTCAATGCGCTTTAAATTAAATATAAGTGTACTTGTAAAGTATATAATTGTAAAGTAGTCGAGCGGAACAGATTAATTATTCTTTACAAGATCTTAAACCTGTAGAAGCAATATTCAGATAAAAGTATTTCATAAGTATACACTAAAGACCATAAATTTTAACTTGATGCATAGAAATGGCCTTTCGCCAGTGTTTACTCTTATACTTTTATTTCATTTACTTCAATTGTTCATGAAGAGTCAACGACTGATTGTCCTTCTCTAAACGCAAACTTCTCTTGAGCGTCACGTATAAGAAATAACGTACATACACACTTAATTATACTTAACGCAACTAAAGTTTCTCTACTTCTATATACATGTAATATTTCCTTCGCGATCACACGATCATTCACGAATGGTTTTTTTTGTGAATTTTTGTTTTTTTAACTGAGCATGCTAAGTCCCAAGCTCCGTCACCGGAGTTTTAACTATCTTAAAGTTCGCATTTATCTATTAATAAAGTCTTAATTATCGCTTTTATATATGTATATGTATATATATATATCTCTCTCTTTTTTTTGTCATTTTAAATATATATGCATATGTATAAATTCATCTATAATTTTTATTTATT